CCTGGACTTGGTAATCCATGAACTTCTGCATAATTTTCTAGAAAATTCTTTACTACTTCAGCAACATTTTTATCAATCACCATTTTAGTTTTCCATTGAGGCATTCTTTTTATGTTTCCATGAACTCTGGGTAAAAGACCATTGTTTATCAGATGATTTCTAATATTTTCAAAGTAAGTTCTACCAATTCCTAACATATTGAGATAAGTTTCTTGACAAAGAAGTGTATTATGATCTCAATGATAAAAAGTTCTTTTGTTAAATCTGGTTTTCTTTTTAAGGCGTCTGCTAGTGTTTATTAATCCACCATCCATTGCTTTAAGTTGGGCCATTAAAAAGATGTCTTGCTCTGATTTAGAGAGAGCTTGAAAGGATTCCCTTAATTCTGCAAAATTTTCCTTGGGAATTCTTGAAGAACAACCACAGTTACAACCTTTTTCTAAAAAATCAATTGCTTTTTGATATTCATTAGAACCATTATACTTATTATTACTTTTCATACATATACACTTATCCCTATATATATAATTTTATAATATTATGTTCACTTTGTAGGTTTTTGACATAGATTTTATTGGATGATAATAATAACTTTTATTTTGGTTTTTATTTCAGGTAATGAAATAAAGAAAAAAAACATGTCTTAATTTTTGAAATATACAAAATAATTGATTTTATCATTCATGTTACTAAAGTAAATATAAAGTCTTTTCATTATAAATAATAAATTTAACTTCAATATATTAAAAAAATTCATTCAAGAAAGTATCTAATTTTTCTTTCTCAAGGTTATTATTACCAATAGAAACAGAGAATTTTTGAATTCCAACACCACATATTTTTCATGTTTCTGTTGAAAAAGTACATCCAATGGCATATGTAACCTTACTGTATAATGCTAAATGATTAATGTAATATTGTTTATCAAATAATTGATTAATTGCTTCTTGTATTAAAGTGTTGATTTTTTCTTCCTTTCTTGTTTTTGATGGATTATAACATTTGAATTCAATGAAATAAATAGCTTTATCTGTTTCTACCCACATATCATTTCGACCTTTACTTGTAGCATCTTCACTACAAAATGGTTGGCCAATATAACGTACCAACATATGCATATGTGAATGATAATAACCTTCATAGTTTGGTGCTTTATTAGTAGTATTGTATGGGATGGTGCCCAAATCCCTATTAAATTCTATCAGAAATTCTTTAAATCTATCTTGTTTAAGAAGATCTGTCAGTGTTTTAATTCGATTAAATGCTGTTTCTAATGAAGTATCATCAAAGTTAGCCCAAAGTTCACCCGTACTTCTGTGTTTGGAATTTCAAGAACTAAATTTGTTCCTTCTTGTTGTTTCATAGTCAAATAGCCAGTTTGAAAAAATAATGATACAAGAAATGTGGATGTTTTTTGTATATCTGTGATACTAACAGGAACAATTGAATCTTTACTGATAAAAATTTCATCTGCAATATCTTTGACATGTCCATACTGATCAACTTGGCTAAAAGGCTAGTTTTCCCCTTTTGAATCCAATAGTTCAGAAATTCTGAATTCTTAAAAAACATACATATGCTGTATGGATTATAGACCTTGATGGAAGCATCCCAAGCATAGCCATTGTATTTTTCTTGAAGGTTAGTCAACACTTCTTGTGGATTCTTAAAATTATTTGTTAATAAATTTCCAAATGTTTCTTCTATCTCATTTTTTGTAAAACCATATGCTCCAGATAACACAGGAGATATTGTCAAATCCTCAAGGATATTTGCACCTGAAAATAAACTGACATGTGAAAACATGGTGACACCAGTAATAAACAAAAACTTAATGTGTGCTTGTAATGCTTTTATTACTTCAAAGAAACCCTTTAATATCTCACGATTTTTATCTGCAATTTCCAAGCTTTCTTTTGTGATATCAATAACACTTAACAATGGTGAATCATATTCATCAATTAGGATTACCACTTTCTTCCATTTATTATCTTTGTGATTAACTATAATTGTGATTAATTGACTAATAGCATCTTTTACATTATCAATATATGTGATGGTAACATTATACCTCTCCCCAATTGATTTTAATTGACATATCAATCCCTTTTCTAATACATCTGGTCCTTTATTTGATGTCAGTTTAGAAAAATCAAGCCTAATTACTGGAACTGGAGGCAAATCTTTACTCCACACTTGTACTTCATTCCCAAAAATCATTTGTGGTGGATTATTATGTATGTATAAACCTTCAAAGAGATGATGTTGGTTCAAGAAAAAAGATTCGATCATGGAGAGAAACATAGATTTTCCGAATTTTCGAGGACGTGATACAAAGTATCTAACCACTGTTCAGATCCAATTTGGTTAACCAAAATGTTTTATCCACATACAGTTTTTGTAACTCATGTACTATCTGGAATTCAGAATCTGATACTGGAATATTATTAAAACCTATAATGAAAAAAATTAAAATTTATCATTATTGACCAAAAGAAAAAAAAGAATCACCAGCAATTAAAAAAAAATAGCCACATGGTGAATTTTGAATAAAAGACATTCTTCTAGGATCATCTTCCCAAAGTCGACTTTTCTTCTGCTGATGTTCTTTATGAAAGAACGAATAAAAATGAAAAATATAACAAAAAATTAATTAAAAAAAAAAAAAAAAACATTAAACAGCTTTTTCAATTCTTAAAGTAGTATAGAATCATAATTGGACTTTTATTATCCTTTTCAGATCTTGATTTCATAGCGTTTGTTTTAGTATTTTACTTTGTGACTATGTAGTCGATGGAGTATAGTAATAGCTGCAATTACCATTACCATCATCATCACCACTACTACCACTATTAATATTAATATTATTGCTATTTAACCTATCACAATTATCATAATCCAATTTTTTTTGTGAATACTATAATATTATTACATAATGATCCAGCAGTATTATTTATTTCTCCAGAATGAATTTTTATTTTGCTACGAGTATTAGAACTGATCAATTGCAATCTCGTGAATGGGTGGTTCTCATTTTCTTTTTTGTGGCATGGTTTAATGAATGAATTTTGTATTTATATTTTAGATCCACTTAATGTTACCAGACAAAATCGGAAATCAGATAGTGCTTAATCAAATTAGAAAATTATTATTAAGAATTACGATTTATATAATTTATAGGAAGTTTCTTTAGTATATATACAAAGTTTCATTGTTTATAATTTCCGGTTTTCTTTGCCTTTGGGAGTGTTATTTGAAAACGCTAAAATGTCTTCCTGATACATGTAGTCATATTTTCGTAATAATGTGAATTAAATATAACTTATTATCTATGTATTATATATGAATTAAATGTAACTATATTAATATATAATATATGCTTTAATTCACATATTAATATTCTATATGTCAAATTATATAATACTGTATATATTTAAAATATTATTTGTAACAAATTTTTGTAACAAATTTTGTTTAATAGATATAATATCCGTATTGATTATGAGAGATGTATTTATGTTGAATAAGATACATTCTAGGTTATTCGAATTCAAGTTATTATTCTAGTGGATTTCAGAACCAGTAGAAAAATTGCGCAAGAGTCATAAAAAGAAAAGTAACAAAAAAATACAACAAAAAATGATAGGAGAAAAAGACTAGAAAATAATGAAAGTTGGTTTTTTTAATTTCTGTGACTCTGAAATTACAAATGCTATCACACAATTATTAAATTATTGAAGTGGTATCTTTTGGTGTATAATGAAATAATTGATACAAAAAAAGAGTGAAACAAAATTCTGAAAAAAAAAAATTTTGAATTTTTATTTTTTAAGGATTCAAAAAAAAACATACTTTTTTCTCTCAAGGAAACTATAAATTGAAATTTGAAATTGAAATTTTTTCTTTCTATCATTGATTATTTTAAAGGATCATATGTTAATAACAAATACAGATCAGGAAATTATTGAAAAAAGATTGTGATGATAATCATAAAAAGATTAAATTAGATGTATTAAAAAGAGTTAAAATTTTCACCGATAAAGATAATAAACTTAATTAATCAACTTTATTCGAAAGAAGATGGAAAAATTGAAAGAAAATTATAAATTACGTAAAATATATAAAAATAAAAATTTCAAAATCAATGCTAAAGAAGAAAAAAAAATAAAAATAAATTAAAATACATTACATTGAATAAGAGCTTATATCATCTGCCAAAATTTGCATCTCATGAATTACTTGAATGTTTCATTTTCATTAATAAGAAAGTATCTTTGCTCCAACAATCATTATGCTTTATTGATCATACCAAAATGAATTATTGTTATTTCTAAAAAAACAATTGACAGTAAAATA